GGGAAATGCAAATTAAAACGACAATATGATATCACTTCACATCCTCTAAGTAGGTGATAATCAAGAGAATGGAACGTAACAAGTGTTGGTGATGATGTAAAGAAATTGAATATTGCTCGTGGGACTATCAAATGGAGCAACCACTGTGGAAAACAGTTTGGTAATTTCTCAAAAAGTTAAACAGTTACCCTAAGACCCAGAAGTTTCACTCCTAGGTCTATACCCAAGGTTTTTACAAGTACTTAAACAAATACTTGTCTGCAAATTTTCATAAAAGCACTATTCATAACAAGCAAAAGGTGGAAATAACCACATCTCTATTAACAGATGAATAGATAAGTGAATTATGGTGCATCTAATGACAGAATACTATTCAGCCACAAGATGGAATGAAGCCCTGTTATGTACTGCAATGCGGATTAACCTCAAAAGCATTATGCAAAGTGAAAGGAGTCAGACACAAAGGTCACATTCTATTACTCCAGTTATATGAAATATCCAGAATAGATAAATCAATGGGAACAGAAAGTAAATTGGTGGATGCCAGAGGGAGAATGGAGAGTAACAGCTTAATGGGTAAGGGATTTATTTTGGGTGATTGAAATATTCTGGAACTAAATATATGCCATGGTTTCAACACCCTTCAAGTATAGGACATGCCACTGAATTGTTTGCTTCAAAATGGGTAATTTTATGTCAGATGTGTTTCATCTTATAAAATATTTTTTAAATTTTCAAATCATGTAGCAGAAAAAAAGGAGAAAAAATAAACAGATGATGACAAGTAGAAAAGAAAGAGCAACTGGGTAGATTTAAGCCCAGCTCTACCAGTAATCATATAATGTATAAATAGTCTAAACATTCTAATTAAAGAGACTGTCAGATTAGATGAGAAAAGCAAGACTGAACTAAACGCTGCCTAGAAGACACAAATAATAAAAAACAAAACTTTTGCTCACGGCATACTTAAATTTGCTAACCCGGTACAGAACATTGCTTTGTCTGACAAATGGCAGGGCCTTTCAGAATAAGAAAGTCATAACTGAAGACACAAATATAAATGAGGCAGTGATCCAGGAAGCCCACATTTTAGAAGACAAAGGGACATTCATGAACCGGGGATAATTTACTAGAAATGCCTTTCAGGGCTCCCGGATGGAGAAACCTGACAGCAGCTTGGAGTTAACAGTGGAGGTTAATTCCAAGTTGATTATTTGGGGCTCATTCACTAAAAGCCAAAAACTGAGCCCTCACTCACAGTCAGGTAGTTGAACTTCTGAGAGCACAGATTGCTACCCTACTTCCATGCCTATCTTCATTTTCCAGGCCAAGCCCCCGCAGGTGTTCTGATTCTGCTTGCAGACAGTCTTTTCAGGATGTGTTGAATTCGTTAACATTGTAGTTCCCAACTGGGGGTAATTTTGACCCTCGGGGACAGTTGGTAATGACTAGAAATATTTTTAGATGTCACAACTTGGAGGTGTTACTGGCATCAGTGGGTAAAGGTCGGGTATGTTGTTAACCATCCTATAAAGCACAGGACAGCTCCACACAACGAAGAATTATCTGGCCTAAAATGTCAGTAGTGCCAAGGGTGCAAAAGCCTGATCTTAATCAATGATTCTAAACCAATGATTTCCAAAGAGTGGTTTCAAAACTTGCAGTGCCCATACTGAGAATGTATTAGAATCGTGCATCCTCAGGCTCCATACCTGACTTGCAGAGTCAGAAACTCTGGAGGTGAAGCCCAGCAAT